AGGGGGAAATGGTCTTCACAATTTGAAATCGATCGAACACACTGTCTCGATACACTCGTATAAACGCGCGCCATCTATCGTGGGTTAAATGTACTATGCCAGAAACCTTCGCGGGAGTGTATTAAAAAACTTTCCTAAGTTTTATGGCAATCGTACTATGCCACAAACCTGCGCGAGAGTATATTAAACAACTTCCCAAAGTTTCATGGCAATCGGATAAACGGTGTGGTAATGCATGAAGGACATAAGACAGACACACAGACACACACACAGACATACATTCATTTTTATATATATAGATGTATCACTTAAAAAAATTTTAATGAAGATATTTATCTTAATTATGAAAATATACTAGCATGTTTTTTAATTTTTGGAACCTAACCCTCCTTTTCGTATTAGTTCTTTGTTTCGTACAACACGGATTCGCATAACACGGCAATTTTTTGGAACGTAACTACCGTGTTATACGGGGGTTACCTGTACGTCCAATTCGGTATAAGTCAAACATCAGGATTAAGGTTGTATACCAAGGTTCCACTGTATATCATTAATAAAGAATTAAAGTTAGATTTTTATGTTTTAACAAAATTAGAGACAAGTTAAATATAAGAATCAGATATACAATCCTGTATATCTGATTCTGATGATACATTTAAATTTTATTTCTTAATTTTAATTGTTAATAAATATTATAATTTAAATACAGTGGAATCTTGGTATACGAACTTAATCCGTTCCTGATGTTTGGACTTATTGAGGGTGCATATAATTGAATTAAGTCATATACTGAACAAAAGTTGTATACCGAGCAAAATTTGTTTTGTCCAAACAGGACATATACTGAGGTACCACTGTACCAATTTATAATTATTAATTATATTTAATTTTAAAAAATATTCTTACACACAATTAAAATGTTCACTTATTTCTCTGCTTGAAACAATTAACATATTTTATTTATATACAATGTAAAACTTAATTTTATTATAGGAATTAACAATTTAATTAAATTTTAAAATTTTAAATACATCAGTTATTAAATTTACCTTGGTTCGGCCTCTTGTTTTCTTTCTTGACCGATATGATTTTTCTTTATCATTTTTAATCTTTTCCCAATAAGATTGTTCTTCAATTCCTAAAGAAAATATATAGTTTTTATTTTATTTGAATGTTTTTAACACTTATCAATATTTTATTAAAAAATTATGAGAACAAGTACTTAAAATCAAATGCCATAGATTTTGTTTGCCAAGACTAATGCCTCAACAATTGTCATAAAATTCTGTTTTTGGGATGGATATTTGCCAAATTTTAATGTTATTTATAAAGGATGTACTATTAAGCATATGTCACTGCTTGTAAAATAAAAAATTCACAAATAACTCATGTTTCAAGTAGGAATAAAGCTTTCTTAAATTTAAATTGCACTATAAACCTATTGTCCAGTGTTAGTAATATATATACTGCATGAACGTTTTTTGGCTTGAGTCCTGCTTCTCTTAAATTTGGTAATATAACATAAAAATTTTAATTATATAACAAGAATAATTCTAATTAAAGAAAGTTCTGGAGATGTCATGCTTACATTATCCACTTCCAATTCTATATTTAATTAGTTAAAATTGTTAAAAGGTAATAAAATTCACACTGTTTTACTATTAAAAAGTAAGCAATTTTGTAAGTACAGGTATGCACTGTATAACAATAGACTGCATATATGAAGAAAGTCCCATAAGATTATAATGGAGCTGGAAAATTCATAGCTGCTGTAACAACATGTGGTGGCAGTAGCATTGTGTGAAAATACATAGTGTCCAAAAAGTTTATTGAATGAAGTATTTTCAGAAAGATTCTCAGTAATAAATACTAATTTATTATAAATGCAAAATGAATATAATTTACAAAATTTTAACATCAAAATATGAAATACCATATTTAACTGTATCTTTTCTAGTTTTAGATGCATAAATACTTATTATTGTTACATATAGTCTATATTAGTAGTAGATTATACAATAATGTTAAGTTTATGTAAAGTACACTCTACAATGTCTGATTAACAATGTACTATTCAGAATGTATCTCCTTAGTTAAGGACTCGTCTTTTTGTACTTTGAAATTCCGTCATAAATCAAACAGATCTAAATTAAAAATACACAAGATGGTGTGCATTTGCATTGTACAAAGTTGTAAAATAGGTGTAAATAGGGAAAGCTGTTATTTTGTTAATCTTAAGAAAAATTTATTGTTAAAAATAAATTTATTATATATGCTAATAAAACTATTTTCATCATTTAAAGAAAAGTAATGTTTCTCTCCTTTTCCATAAAATATTCTAATTAATGATTTAGAAGGTCAAGTGGCTAAACTGACTTATACACTATTAATAAATAATACATTGTCACCAAATAGATATTTTGTCAGTCAGACTTTTGCCCAATGGAGAAAGGAAACCCATGCTGATGTTTTAAAACTGTGCAAATGGTAAAAGTGCTTGTGCATTTCATTCTAGGACTTTTTTACAGTAAGTAATCTCCATTTTTTTTTATTTATTTCTGATTTAAACTTTGTTCAATGGCCATGCTAATGCAAGAATAATGGTAAGCATGAAGTTTATAGCAATATACCATTCTTGCAAAAGCAAAACAATGCAGGAGTGACAAATAAAATAGATTTTCTCTCTCACTCATGGAAGAGAAAATCTTTCTCTTATAAATATCTGCACTGTTTGATTTTTATCATAATTTGAAGTTCTTGCTTTATACTGTGCTTACACATTAGCTCTTTACCTTGTTTACAGTGTGTATATGATTCAAACATGACATCTTCACTACATATGAGTGAAAAGAAAAATGAGTAAAGTTTTCTTAGACAAAATTTAATTAATTCAGTTATGGCTTTTCCTAAAATATGGCATAGCTATTAAAAAAATCATTAAAAAAAAAGTTAGTAAATGTTAATAGTAATCTAGTCTCACAAACACACAGACACTTTTATTCACTATTTACAGCAGAAATGTTTAATAAATGTTAGATAAATGGATGGAAACAAACAGTTTTGCTGCTTTAGTGGCCCTCAAGTTACGAAAACTTTTTTACACCTAGTAAATGAGCTGTACAAACTCATTTAATAGGTGTGAAGACGTTTTTGTACATTCAATAAAATAATTTTTTAAACAAACTTTTTACAAAAAATTTGAATGAGCATAAATATTCGAAATATGGAGTATTCTACACTTTAATGATATTGTGAGATCTGGCAGTTATTGTAGAATTAATTATAGTGATTAATGCTAACATAAGAAAAGGGCGGGGGAAGTTTTCCGATTTAAAGAATTTCCATCTCCCACAAGTCCGATGAATAAAAGACATGTAAACATCAAGTCAAATCGTCAACATTATCCAGATGTTGATGTGAGGAAATGTAAAAGAGTTAAACAAATTCATGGTGGAAATCTAACAAGTCAAATTTTCACCACCCTAGCCTGCCCATCGATTACACATTCAAAGGTGTCATCACTCCAAAAACAATAAGTGACATGATCAAATTTCCACACCTGATAAGGATATAATGACAGCACACTCAACTGTCGCGTGCTATCAGTCCCTCTGGAATAGCTTTGAATTGCGACTTTTCGTCCTTCTCGTCTCCCTGCTGCCATCCAGATATGGGCCACCTGGAAACTTACCTTGACTAGATCCATGATCGTCTTACCAACATTGGATGAACAGGATCCGGAACCATCGAGTCTTGAAGTATTATACTCTTGATTGTAAACTCTCTCTCTCATTTTTGAATAGGTACTCAGTCATTTTAAAGTACAAGTGCTTAACTAGTTGATATGAAGCCGATCTTAAATGTACTATCAAATGAAGATGAATAGTGTATTTGTTTATAGGCTTAGTGCTGGAGCTTCTATGAGGGTGGATGAAATATAAACGGGATTTATTTTATGTTTTAAAATTATTTATTAAAAAATAAAAAAACATTATGATTTATTTTTCTACATAGCTTCCTGCTATAGAAATACATTTTTCCAGCAAGAAGGAAAGTTTCTCATTCCAGTATCATAGAATGAAGTTGGTCGTGTCAAGAGCCAACTGTGCAAGAATTCCTTCACTCCTGCATCATCTTCGAATCGCTGACCTCCTATAGCTTCTTTAAGCGGCCCAAACAAATGGAAATCGCAGGGTGATAGGTCTGGGCTGTAGGGAGGATGATCAAGTGCAGTCCAGTGCATTTCTTTAAGTTTTGAGACTGTTAGAGCTGCAGTATGAGGCCTGGCGTTGTCATGGAAGAGAATGACATCTTGATCTCTTGACAGTTTCCATAACTTATTCTGACCTTCTCTGCAATTTTGCAAACTTCGATTTGTCTCTCCACTTCAATAATGTCTCGAACCACTCAAATGTTGTTTTTGCTTGTGATGCTGGTCCAAGGACAGCGATCGTGTTTCTGATTTTCCACTCGTGTCCGTCCTTCCTTGAACTTTTTATGCCAGGCAAACACGAGTCCTTGACAGTGTTTAATTCCCAAACTGTGCAGTCAATCTGTGAAAAATTTCTGTTGCATTGACTCCTTCACAAGCAAGAAATTGTACGATTATGCGTTGTGCAACAGAGGGGTGTACCTGTTGCTCTGACATTGTGAGCACTACTGATGAATTGGTTGAAAGTATGAAACGGCCGGCATTACCCAGTCCTAATGACCCTACCCAATCAGACTAGACGTGTGGACCCTGTACTGCCAACTTTAGTTGCTCAGGAACAAAAATCCCGTTTATATTTGATTCACACTCGTATATATATTCCTTGCTTTAGCTCATTAAATTGAATTACTTGTTAAACGGGCATTGTTGGACTTCCAGTACTCCAAGACATCCTATCAACTTACCCATTGTGCTCCCCACTCAATGGTCAAACTAGCCCTCCTACTCAACATTTATTTACGATTCGCAAGTTAGGACATGAACTTTTACTATCCTAATTGGTGTCAGGTCCTGACATCAGAAGGATCTTGCAATCCTGACAATTTATAAATTCATCATCCAGTGACAATTGAGAGGATCTCACTGATCCAACACCATTCAAAAGGGGTATAAAGCGATATTAGTTGACCCCCATTTCTCATAATATTAAATAAATTAAAATTTAAAAGTTTTTAAATCTACTTTATTTAACATCATTGAAATGTAGAATGTTCCATATTTCATATGTTTATGTTTGTTCAAATTTTTTGTAAAATGTTCATTAAAAAATTATTTTATCAAATGTATAAGATCATTTAAAGGGTATGAAAAAGTTTTTGTAACCTGAGGAGGACCATTAAATCAGTCAAAAATGCTTGTTTCCTTCCATTTATCTATCATTTATTAAACATTGGTGTTGGAAGTAGCAAGTAAAAGTGTCTGTATGTGTTTGTTGAACTGTTCTAGCTTTTGAGAGTTACCTTCAACCCAGTTTCTACACTCAAACAAATTCTTGCTAATGCATGACAATGTTAATGAGAATAATAAATGAGAAAACAAGAAACACCATAATCTGATGTCATCACATTACATTTGCTTGCATGTTAAAATTCTATACCAGAAAATTTGTTTCCTCATGTCTGCATAATATGTCTGTAGACTAAGGGTCAATTTGTAGTCTAATGGCAGCATTTTGATACAATAACAAAGTTCACAAAATTCCACTATGTTTGCCGTCCTCTGCTCTACTAGACATCAAACTATAGATGCACACTTCTGGTCTAGCAACACAACTCCAAAACTGAACAATATTTAATATTGACATTTGATGTCAATACTATGCTGTGCCAAGTTAGCCACGGGCCAGAATTTAAGTATAAATCAGATATGCTTGTCAACCCCAGTGGCAGCTAGCAACCTTGAAATTGACACTACTACTGAACTATAAACCAGCCTTTAGCCACTTTATTTAGCCAGTTTTCTTAGTTAAGTAGTAACTTTGTGTTCCTAAGAGAATTGCTACTTATTCTGAGATAAAATTGTAAAATCGCCATTACAAATAAATCGTAACTGCTAATAAAATAGTATTTTGAGTAGAGTGAAAGGAAAAAGAAGTAGAAATTAATTAACCCTAATTTTATTTTTTTATAACAGTGATATTTATTTTCTATAATT